ATCTTATTGGTCAATGTGTTTACCTGCAGCTGGCTCTGAAAAAATAAATGCCAGCCCAACTGGCTTCAGGCAAGCGCGATTGCTCGGATCTCCGCTCCCAGCTGAGACGAGTTACCGCCGGAGTCACTTGTCGAGGGAACGTCTCAACGTCTCATTTGGTGTTCAATTGTGTTCGCCTGACCCCTTGCGGGGTCTCTTCGAACAGTGGGCTTCCCGTGGGGTTTTGTTAGGATTTTGACTCCTCTCCCCCGTACGGGACGGGGATTTGGAGTCTGGGTTGTTGGCGGAAGGGTTAATTTATCTGTGGGTTTTTTTATTAAGGTTGTTGATGACGGGGGAGGGAAGGGGCAGAACCAGGATGGGAGGGGATAGGGTGGGGTGAGAGGGAAGAGGTGGTATAGTCAGAGGAGGCAGCGAAGTTGTTTTTTTGTTGTCGACGAAGAATTAGAAGGATTAGATTGTTGATGTATTTTTGGATTTGGGCTATTGCGGAGTTGTGGAGGTGTTGGAGGATGTGGAGTATTTTGTTTTGATGTCGAATGGAGTTGTAAATGGTGTACATGGGTGGGCGGAAGATGAGGCGAATGTTGTGGTTTTCGACGCGAGTTAGGTTGGTGTGGGATGTAGCGAACCAAGTGGGATGGACATATGAGTAGATAACATTTGTATGTTCTGGCGCACCCCCGCTCTCCCAATGAATTTAGTCACAATCAATAACCAAATTGAGTTTGCGCAAGTAGTTGTTCTGCATCACCTGTCCCTACATAACATACAAACAAAACAAATTGATTAAAATCAACGAAAATGAATTAAATACCGAAAATGAATATTTTTTTGTTTTAAAATAAATATATACGATGGAAAATAGTAGTCAGAAGATGTTTTCAGTTGACAAGATGAACGAACTGTCGGATAGCCGACTTAAATATGTAAAGCCAAGAAGATCCGTGGCTGTAGTTCTTTAAGTAAGAACAAACTAATGAAAAGGTTAAAAAATACCAAGACACACCAGAAGAACTAAGAGATATTTTCTCTTTGAAACTTGACCAATTAAAAGACCGCTGTAGAAAGAACAAGATTAAGGGATATTCGAATTTGAATCGAGATAAACTCATTAGATCCATCATTAAAGAAGAAGAAATCAAACAACTACCGATTAAACAATTGCCCTTTACCACTACCGATGATCATGAACTTTTCACAACTCCCCAAGTAAGAGATGAACTAAATGTGCAAAAAACAGATACAGCATTCCAAAGCGACTTGAAACTTGGACATTTGAACAGAAAGATATTAAATTAAGTACTAATCCAATACTTTCGTTTTTAAAGAGAATAACACCCGTTGTAATTAAAAAGCTTGAAAGCAGTCTTCGAAGAAACAATTCACTGAAAATCAATGTCAAATAACTATGTGATTACAAAAAAGATGGTATTCATGAATTCAACTTTAAGACAGAAAATCAAATCGTACTACAACTCGACAATTTACACAATTATATGATTAACGCTAAAAACAAATTACAAACAGAGAAATGTGCGAGTTCCAAGGTAGAGGTTCCGGTTGGAAACTCCACCGAATTAAGAGTTTTGAAATAAGATTAAACAAGTACGTTCCAATTAGCGGCAACCCATATTTCGAATTACCTGATAAAATCAAACACAAAAAAGCAGTAGTGAACATAAAGAATAAAGACGATAAGTGCTTCTTATACTGTTTGAAGGCTTACTTACATCCAATGCCTCGAGACGCTGAGAGAGATTCTAAAAACATTGACCTTAAGGACGACATTGATACTCTTTTTAAAGATATCAAATTTCCAGTAGAACTTAAAGATATACCAAAAATAGAACAACGAACTGGATTACAGATTAATGTATTCGGTTGTGATAAAAATCACAAAATTTTCCTTTATTATCCAAACAAAGGCAGACGACCTTCTAACAAAGATGTTGATTTATTACTCGCTACTAAAAGTGAAAAGAAACATTATTGCCTTATTCGTAATCTCGCGTTTAATCAAACACACAGAAAAAAGTATATATGTAGAGGTATAGTCCATTTCAATACAGAATCAAAATATAAAGAACATATACTTTGTTGTACAAATGAACGAGCTATGACTGAAATGCCAGAGCCTGGTGAGAATGTTCAATTTAAAACCATACAAAACAATGAAAGTACCATATGTTATTTATGCCGACTTCTAATGTTTAAATTGCAAGTTAGATACTTGCCAACCAAATCCTAATTACAAATACACAACTAAATGTCAGAAGCATGAACCCAGCGGTTATTCTTACTGTGTTGTTAAAAATGGAACAGGTGAAACACTTAAATACTATAGAGGTAAAAATGCATTAAGAAAATTTATTGAAAGCCTAATGAAACAAGCTACGAAGATTTCAGATATATACAAAAACAAATTAGATATTTACAAAAAAGGAGATAAAGAAAGATTGAAAAATGGAACAACATGTACCTATTGTAACAAGTGCTTCACTAAGAATAATTATAAAATTGCACATCATGATCATGTGATCGGAAACTTCATTGCACCGGCTTGCAACAACTGCAATCTTAAACTGAAAGTGCCAACATTTGTACCAGTCTTTCTACACAATCTCTCGGGATACGATTCTCATCTCTTTGTTAAGGAATTAGGATGTACAACTAAATCTATTAATATTATTCCAGACAACGAAGAAAAATACATTACATTCTCAAAAGAGGTCGGTCCTATAACGTTAAGATTTCCCGATTCTTTTAGGTTCATGCCATCCTCTCTTGCTTCATTAGTTACCAATTTAAAACATGATCAAATAAATTTAAAAGAATACTTTGATGAGGAATTAGAATTAGTTTCCAGAAAGGGTGTTTACCCATATGATTATAGGGATTCTTGGAACAAGTTTAATGAAACACAACTCCCACCAAAAAGCAAATTCTTCAACAGTCTTGAACAAACACATATAACAGATGAAGATTACAAACACGCAGAAAGAATATGGAAGCATTTCAAACTCAAGAACCAGGGGCAATACCACGATTTGTATCTTCAAACCGATACTCTTGCTTTCTGACGTATTCGAAAATTTTAGAACATGTATGTATGGTTATAATCTCGATCCAGCATGGTACTACACAAGTCCTGGTTTAGCATTTGACGCGATGTTGAAGATGACTAAGGTTAAACTCGACTTACTAAGCGATTATGATATGGTACTTATGACTGAGAAAGGTATTAGAGGTGGAATTTCACTATGTTGTCAAAGATACTCAAAAGCAAATAATAAATATATGACAGAATATGATAAAACAAAAGAAAGTACTTATCTAGCATATCTTGATTCAAATAACCTTTATGGTTGGGCCATGTCACAATATTTACCTTATAACGACTTCAAATGGTTAACTGAAAATGAGGTTAAAAACCTTAATATGAATAACATATCAAAAGAAAGCAAAACCGGTTACATTCTAGAGGTTGATTTAGAATATCCTGAACAGTTACATGATTCCCATAAAGACTTTCCATTAGCACCCGAAAACAATGTCCACCAGATTCTAACCAACCAAAATTATTAACAACACTAGATAACAAAGAAAAATATGTCATCCATTACAGAAACCTACAACAGTGTTTAAAACTAGGGCTAAAACTAAAGAAAATCCACAGAATAATCCAATTTAAACAATCTAACTGGTTGAAGAATTATATCGACTTTAACACACAAATGAGAACCAAAGCAACTAACGATTTCGAAAAAGACTTTTACAAACTAATGAACAATTCTGTATTCGGTAAAACAATGGAGAACATACGTAACAGAGTTGTTATAAGATTAATCTCGAACCCTATGTTGTGTGATAAACTCATAGCCAAACCAAACTCTAAAGACAGAACCATATACTCAGAACAACTCGCAGCAATTCATATGAGCAAAACAAAAACCAAATTTAACAAACCTATTTATGTTGGAATGTGTATTCTCGATATATCTAAAGAACTAATGTATGACTTCCATTACAACACAATGAAACCTAAATACGGAAACAATATTTCAATATGTTATATGGATACTGATTCTCTAACATATGAGATTAAAACTGATGACTTTTATCAAGATGTAAAACAGATGATTAACTACTTTGACACAAGCGACTATCCAAACAACAATCCGTACAATATACCCCAAGTCAATAAGAAAGTATTAGGAAAAATGAAAGATGAACTTAAAGGAAAAATCATGAAAGAGTTTGTCGGCTTGAAGTCTAAGATGTATGCTATGAATTCGGAAACTGGTCAAATCAAAAAGGCTAAAGGAATTAAGAAATTTATTGTGAAAAATGAATTAAACTTCGAAGGCTATAAATCATGCTTAGATAAACAAACTGAAATATATAAAACGATGAGACTCATTCGAAGTCAGAAATATGAAATACACACAATAGAAGTAAACAAACTAGCACTCGGTTTTAAAGATAATAAACGATATATACTAACTGATAGAATAAACACACTACCATGGGGCCACTATAAAATTCAAACTTAAACAAAACCAACAACCACTAAGGGGACTCACAAGTGAACCTAATACATAGTTAATGACTCAATATATAAAATCTATAATCCAAAATACCGAGTCATAAATCTATGACCCAAATACCATACCATAAAACTCGACTACGGATGTTTCCTTAGATGTAAATGAAAATATAACATTTTTACGAAATTGAATTACGAAAATGATTAAACAAAAAATGTTTTAAGATAAATATTGACAAGTTAGTTATGGAGAATAAAACTACTCAACAACTTAAACAATTCTGCAGAAAAAATGGAATCCGTGGTTATTCAAACCTCCAAAAATCAGATCTAATAACCTTAATCAACAGACACAATCAAACAAACCAACAACCGCAAAATAACCTAAAGGCTTTGGTAAATAATCATCAAAGCATTAATATACTTCTAACGATTGTACCAAACGACAAACCAGTAAAATGATGAATGAAGATGATGAATGATGATGATGATGATGATGATGAAGATGTAGTGAAAACACTTAGAACTAAAAACATTAAATGGAAAAAAGTATCATCATATCCTAACCGTTCAGAAGACTTTATAAGAGGATTTGAAAACGAATTAGATTGGTCTGAAATGTCATATAGTCAAAAGTTTACAGAAGCCTTTATAAGAGAGTTCAGTCATAAAGTCGATTGGCATGGTATCGGATGTTCACAAAAACTAAGCGAAGATTTCATCAGAGAATTTCAAGATAAAGATTTCAATTGTTTACATTTCATCGTATATCAAAAAGTGTCAGAAGATTTCATTAGAGAGTTTCTTGATAAATATAAATGTAAATCCCCAACTAGTTGGTCAATGATTCTTACGCTCAGGACAGTTTTTCTTACAGAACAGTTTTTATGAGATTTCAGCAACAACTACAGCAACAATACAGTTTGTAGATATCAAAAGTTAAGTGAACAATCCATTCGAGACTTTAAAGATCAAGTTGACTGGGATGCTGTATGCTCTAACCAAGAACTTTCAGATTACTTCATTATAGAGTTTGCAAATAAAGTTAATTGGCGCATTTTACTAATTAAGAACAAGGTATATAATGCTGTAATCGAACGACTCAATCGTAGTATGTATAAAAGTGTTGGGAAAAATAGAAAAACTTGTAGCATATGTTTATTCGTTAGACGTCGTGCTAATAAGGTAAAAACACTTTGTAATAATTTTTTCTGTGAATCGTGTTTAGAAACCTGGTTACAAAATAACAACACCTGTCCAATTTGTAATGTTTTTTAAAAGTTACATCATTTGAAAATAATAACAATGATGAGCGTAATTTTAATAATCCGATTATTTTTGGAAGTGAATGAGATACTGATGAAGAAGGTGAAATACGTGTTAGAACTCGATATGAATCTGATTCTGATTCCGTGTAACAAAAATGATTTTAAAAAATATTTTAAATTGTGTAATAAATAAGATTATGGAATCCATTATTAATAAACTCAACCAATTAAACAAACCCAATGTTCAATTCAAGAGTCTAAACGAAATACCAAAAAACAAAACACTATTAATCAAAAAGATCGAACTACAAGAAGCTAAACTTGAAATGAGATTTTTGTTTACATACGTGACTATAAGATGTTTTTACCCGATCGTTACATCGAAATATTTGCAGAAGAAACCCAAAATATATTTAACACTGGTAAAGATCAACTATATCTTTTTTCAAGGTAAAATTAAATTGAGTGGAGGTAGAAGTTTCCATAAGTTTGAATTTACAGATAAATCAGACGAAAAACAATTAGAACCAGAAACTAGTGACGATGAAGATGATGATCAGTAAATGTTTTAAGTTTTAAGATTATCCTTTTATGGCCTTTAAACCATAAAAGGCACTTAAACAACTACACTTGCTTTATTAATCCACGAGTTTATGAGAACTCTCAAAACCTAACCATTTAACAAACACTTTATCATCTTTGTTTCTCAATACTTTTTCAACCAAATAAACATCTGTATATTTTGTCTTAAGCAATTCAGCTTCATAAAACAAACCTTCAACATAATCCCTGCTTAAATCTTTCAGTTTGTAGGTTGGTGGATTCGATGAAATAGATTCATAAACTTCGAACACTTCTGTTGACCAGTTAGGAGTATAACCTTTTTCGAACATACCTTTGGATTTGCTTATTATAACTTTATCCCCAATCTTATACTTATATTTAACATCAGCGCACTGCTGCTTATACACACTATTTGCTCATCTTTTTAACTAACATATTTAGGTTTCATACCAATAGTCGAATGAACTGTATTATTGTATTCACTGACAAGTTTCGGTAACATTTCAACCCATTTATACTCTCCTTGCATAGAAAACAGTTTGAACATTTTCTCTCTCAATGTTCTGTTAAACCTCTCAACTACTGCAGCTTTAATACCACTATGTGTTGAATAATGATTAATATTGTTTAATTTCATCAGTTGTTTAAAATCCTTGTTATAGAATTTTCTTCGTTCATCTGTATGTAAGTGCTTTGGTATTCGTTCTTTTAATACAATTTCAAATGCATTCACTATATTCGAACTGGATTTGTCTTTTAACAACCCACGCAAACTTACTGAACACATCGATTATGGTTAACAAGTATTTAAAGCCTTTGTTGATTTTCGAAATACCTTTAAGTTTTCCGCTATCCATTTCTACTAAATCCGCTTGCCAAAGATCATCGATTCCTTTTGTAATAATGTTTCTACGTTTGAAGTTACGTCTTGTTGGTTTATGTAATTCTTTAACAATTTCTTCCTTAAGGTTAATTGGCTTCTGTTCTGTTTACGTTCGATTATATCATACTCCTGCTTAATCTTCTTGTTTGGCTTCTGTTCTTGTTTAATCTTTACTGCTTTCTGTTCTTGTTTAATCTTTACTTGTTTAATTTCGATTGGATCATACTCCTGCTTAATCTTTACATCTGTATGTTCCTGTTTAATTCCTTTACCGAACTGATATTTTATAGAACCACATTCTCTGCAAGTACTTTTCTGAATAAACCTACCATTGATTGTTACCTCTTTTCTTAGAGATCCTTTTATCAAATCAGTTTGTTTCTTACACTTTACACAATACATTTATTAAATAATTTGTTTAATAAATGAGTGAGATAATTTTACTTTTGAACGACACATTAACAAAAGAAAACTACTTTCTCGAAAAACGATTAAGCTACCTTATCAGACATATTGATGCTTCAGTTTCATTAGTCAGTTTTTATTCGGCTTACTTAACACCAAATGTCACTAAACAAAACAATATCTTACATTATGACGATGATAAACAAATGGAAATCGAAACTGGACAATACAAGAACTTAGAAGATCTAGAGAAATATATACAATCAAATGAACCGTTTAATTCAACAAACATTCAGATAAAAGCTAATGCAATTAAGAATAGAGTGGAAGTAACATCAGATTTTAAATTACGGTTTTATCAGTCTAATTCAATTGGTAAAGTTTTAGGTTTTGAAGAAAAAGTAATAGAAGCAAAACCAACCAGCATTGGAAAAGGAGTTACGAAGATGGTACCTTCAATATGATAAACGATATCCAATATAATTTCTACCTTCAATATTTCTAATGTTCCGTTAGGTCGGTTAGTCGTATGAGCCGAAACAATGCGTATTTGATAAAACACTGTAGGCTTTCACGGCCGGCGTTATACGCGTATATTCTATAATTCTCTTCCGGGCTGAGGGCGTGGTCTATCTGGAAGACATATTTCAGACGTTTCGTCTTGCAGCTGCGGCAGACATTCTTCAGTGGCGCTGCGTCTTGGGCGAGAACTCCCTCGGTGGTTTCACCGCTGACTGAACGGAGCCGCCCTTTTTTTCAGTTTCCCCCCTCAGTTTCCCTGGAGAGCAGGAATTTATTATCTTTTGGGTACATTATGAATAACTGGCAGCCGATTTGGCTTGTGGCAGTAAGGAAGGCTTAAATTGCTTAACAAACTAAAACTATCTATAACTATAACTATACAACATTCCCCTTGGGGTTTGTTTTTAGGCTTCTTTTTATAAAATCGTTTAAATTGGGAGAATCTTAAATTGTTCAATTTTCTTCTTTTATTTTTTTTCTCACTCGCATTCATTTCATTGAATAATTATTATTTACAAACGCATCCATTCATTCATTCATACAAACACAACCACTTTCACAACTACTATATACACTTTTAAAAGCACCGCCACGCGCGGACTTCAATCAGCGTCCGTGGCGCGCGACGTCTCATCCACAGCGACGCTGGCCCAGCGGAGCGGCCGCATCCGCGCTCGCCCCGCGCGGTTTCCGGCATCCGTGAGCGGCGATCCCTGTCACGCACTTGCTGCTCCCCCGCGTCGCAGAGCTCAGAGAGCTTGTGCGGGGGCCAGTGCGCGGGGGAAAAAAGGGATTGAAAGGCGACGTGCTGGGGCCCTTTCTTCTGTGAACAGGCCCCCTTGCTGCACGCCGCATGTTCGCCGCCTTTGCCGGTCTCGCCGCAGGATGCGCGGAGCGGACGGCCTCAGCGCCCTTGGCGAGCCGCCGGCTCCGCCCCTCTTTTTGTAGCTCCGCCGGGAACGGCTTGCCCAACGCCTAAGATTCTGAAGACGTCAGGCATTTTTGGGTTGTCGGTCGGGCTCTAGTTAAAAGGCAAGTGCGGGCGCGCGCGAGGCGCGCCGCTCTGTTCGTCTGCTACCCGATGGGGTGCAGAGTGAGGAGAAGCTGCGCGAAAACCTCACAAGCGGTACGCCCACAAGGGACGCACGCAAGCTGTGCAATAAGCGGCGCTTTAGAGGAATTGCTAAATACGGTTCAAACGGAGAAGAGGTTTCAAAAGGAGGGTGCATGTTCTAATTTGGCAGCGAGATACGAGCGTGCGCATGCCAGCGAAGCTCGCTGTCCCAAGTAGCACGCCCAATAGCTCGCTTCGCTCCGCCAAGGTAGATTTGCTTGCAGCCAAAGCTCACCGTTTCATGGGGGTTAGCCTCTTACGGAGCGAAGGTTGACGGCGACGCATTTCTCGCAGGTTGAGAGCGAGGCGTTTCGTCTTAGCCATTCAGAAAGGCGCGAGACAAATCAGCTTAAGTATTTACTGACTGCCTTCCGTTCGCGATTTCGCGTAGTACGCGAAAATCATCCGGCGAACATCAGGAGCCGCAGCGTTGAATACCAGTTCTTGTTTATCAGGAGGCGGCCGCGTCATTCACGTATAATCCGAAGAGGGTAGGAGAAAGAACCACTGCCTCTGAGGGCACCGCCTGCCTCGGCTCGTTCTGAGGGCACGAGTCGATACGTTATTGACGCGGCACTTTGAACTGCCTGTCAGAAAGAAAACTCGCCGATCAGTCTGACGTAGCAATCGCCACTCCCGCCACCGCCAAGGCACTCCGAGCAAACCCGCATTGCCACACAGAGTCGAAAGCCGACCGCATATCCAGAAAGACCACTGGCAGGTTCTGCCGTTCTTCGAGGGCGAGGCCGATCTCCGTGCCAAGCCGCG